AGCCCCTTTTATTCCTTCACTTTGCTCCCAAGCTCCAAATATCCTTGACTGGAGACAAAAAACTCTCAGACAAGTAGTTACAAGAAGGAGGAAATGCCGTTTAAATTATAAAGAGTAAAAAAACAATACGAACCAGGCAAGATAAGGGCTTGAAAACATCCACAGATAATAGAACGCACACTGGGAAGGACGCCGAACTCAGAGAGGAACGATAAACTAGAGCTATTCCCACGCTTTGTTTCCAGCACTCGCCCGTACGCAGGTCCGTCCTCTTATCCAGTTGTCACAGCTGCAGCCCATGAAGAGGATCAAGGCCCTCTCCTCCTGAGTAGACCACGTCTCTCCCTTATCCTCTCCTCCCTGCATGCCCTTGGATGGATAAGGGAAGGGCCTGGGTCCTCCTCTGACTGCCCAGCCGGCCTCTGCCCTTCCCCAGCCTCCTCCACAACCTCCGGAGCCCCACTTCCACTCCCTGTCGGCTATTCCTCCTCTCCCTCAGAGTCAGTCTCCACCAGGGCCATGACAAGGTTTTTCTATATGCAGGTAAGTCCTCGAGTTACGACCGCAGCTGAGCCCAAAATTTCCGTTGCTAAGGGAAGCAGTGAATGTTGCCCCATTTTATCTGTGATAATGATCAACCATTCAGGTATTCAGACAACTGGAGACAGGTGAACAATGTATAAGAGCTTTCTTATGAAGCTTTTGCAAAAGGGAATTCTGCTCATGGGCAGAAGACATGGTTCCCAGGAAGGCTGGGGTTTATATACAGGTTCAAATATACAGTCTCTGCCCCTTTTCGGGTTCACAATCTGTCCAGCTACGTATCCAGCTATGCAACACCCCTATTATTGTAGCATACCATCTGTTTACTCGCCCTGTTTACCTGTTTCCATTTCCAGTAATCGCCATCATTAACATGACCCTGGACAGTGTGACCTGCCAAATATATAACCGTTATACAAAACCATAGAGAATTCTCACATAATATTCCAGTAAATTATCTTAGGTTAAGACAGAGGTTAAAAATGGCCTTATCATTGCTTTATATTTTCACAGGTATCATTTTACATATCACAGTTTCCTTGCCACAAGCTGTGGAGTGGATTGCTGCCATTTGGTAAGCGAGTCACAAGGCTGTTAAGCGAATCTGGTTTCCCCCGTCGACTTGGCTCGTCAGGCGGTCGCAAAAGGGGATCACGTGACCTCTGGCACACTGCGGTCGTCATAAATATGAGTCAGTTGCCTAAGTGTGGCGAGAAAAGTCATAAAACGGGGGTCAAACTCACCAAAATTCTCACTTAGTGACCTAAACTTTAGGCTCAATTGTGTCGTAAGTCCAGGACCACCCGTATCCAGTGGCAACCTGCATTCTCTTGTTTGAGGCAAAGAAACAGGACCGAAAGCCAAAACACCAGGCGTTGTTTCCTCTTTAGGGACTAGTGGATTGTCTTCCTATTTAAGCATGCAGGACGGGGCAGGTATAATCCTCCCTCCCGCCCACTTCAACATTTACAGTCCCTTCTCTTGCTTTGCAGGGTAATGGTGTATGACCTCCGCAGGAGCGAGCCTGTGTCCTCATTTCACGGCCATCAGTTGGGGGTCTCGGGGGTGCAGATGGACGACTGGAAGGTGGTCAGCGGAGGCGAGGAAGGGCTGGTCTGCGTGTGGGACCAGCGCATGGGTAGCAAGCTCTGGGAAATGCATGCCAGGTGAGACCCTGCCTGCTTAAACTGATTGGCAGAGCTGGAAGGGACCTTGGAGGTCATCTAGTCCAACTCCCTGCCCAAGCATGAGCCCCTTAACACGATTTCTGACAAAAATGGCAGTCCAGTCTCTTCTTGAAAGCCTCCAGGGATGAAGCTCCCACAACTTCTGAAGGCAACTTCTGTTCCACGGGTTGATTGTTCTCCCTGTCAGAAAATTCCTCCTTATTTCCTGGTTGAATCTCTCCTTCCCAAGCAGTCTTCCAGCAAGCAAAGCCAGTGGGAGAAGTTGGATTAGTTTAACGGCCACAGGATCCGCTTAGCAACCAAGGCAAAAACTCATGAGATTGAGGGTGACTCAGTTAACAACTGCGTCACTCAGGGATGAAAGTTCTGTTCCCAGTTGTGGTCGTAAGTTGAAGACTCCCTGTACTTCTGTAAGATGCAGCTGGAGCAAGGAAGAAATGCAATAGAAGAAATTTCCCTTCCTTCCCCTTCCTCCTCCTCCTCCTCTTCCTCCTTCTTCCACTTACCCTTCACT